TATATATATTTCCATAGTTAAATTGCTTTTGAAAAAGTTATATATACATTATCACAACCAGTTCTAATGCTCCCTAATTCAGTGGTTGCTCCCTAATCCCCTTCACCCTCTGTACCCCCTCCCCATCCTGATAAACCATTGCATAAATTATTGCCTCTTTGCATCCACTCCTAAGAGAAATGAACAAACAAAAGATAAAAGGCGCGTAAGAAAGGAAAGACCACCAATATTTTAAAAGCCAGAGAAGAGATTTCTGTCGTGGAACAATCAAGAATATTTGAGCCTAGAGCACATTCAAGCTGGTTCAAGAGGGAGGTCAACTGACCAAGTATGAGTGGGTAGCCACCCCCAAGCAGATTTTTTTTTCAAAGCTATTTATTTAAATTCTTTTACAAAAACAACCTGTCCCTTTCACAGTACTTTCCATTACACTTAACACATTTGTCAAATCTGTAATTCCATTCTTGGAAATATTTTTTACGCCCATTTGTTTGGATCGCTGACAGCACCTCCCTTGTTTCTTCTTCACCTCTTCTACGTGTGTCTTCAAATTGCTGTCCTCTCATGTCCCTCTTCATTCACAGAAAGAAAAAGTGCACGGAGCAAGGCCAGGTGAGTAAGGTGTGTGAGGCAAGAGAAGTATGCGGTTTTTTGGCCAAAAACTGGCACACTGAGATGACTGTGTGAGCAGGTCTATTGTCATCATGGCAAAACTAGTCCCCTCCCTCATGAACCCTTGATGATTTATAAATTATTATTTTGTCATATCTTACACTGTCCGTACGTCTCCCTTCACTCACTTTCCTGTTGTCCGTCCCCCAGGGAGGAGGTTATATGTAGATCCCTGTAATCTGTTCCCCCTTTCCACCCCACCCACCCTCCACCATAGGTTACTATTAAAAAGGGAAGTTTTCTACTTCAAATCATGTAAAAATAGCATGACTTGTTCATTTCTACCTTAACATTATGATTAACTAATTTTTCTAATACTCATAAAATAGGCAGCTAAAAAGGCAAACTCTTCAAAGGCAAGAAGAGATAAAAGACTTAAATAATTGAAAGAATAATTAATTAGTTAAAGGTAATGTTCCAATTTTTGTGAACTCTTCTGATTTTATTTTAAAAGATGTTATTTTTAAAGATTAGAAACCAGACAATAATATTAATTTCCAAAATGCTAAAGATATTAACTTGAATATCTTAAGCGCCTGCTAAAAACTTCTTTGTGTTTTAAATTTTCTTTAGATTTATGTTTTCTTCCTGTACTATTCTATTTTGGAACTTGAGAATCAATACTGGCTTGATAAGAGCTCACTGTTCTTAAATTTTATTTTATTGACTCACGATACACTTACTGAAATGTAATAAACTATTCATAAACTTGAAAACTACAATTTTCTAAAATCAGCTTCAAAAAGGTGTATATGGCTTTTTTTGTTTTTTGTATATGGCTTTCAAAAAGATTGTTTTACCTATTTTTAATTCTTTTGATTTTATGTCTAGATGAAATTTGGACTCAGCCCTAGATTTTTATTTTATTGCTCAGGCACTTTTCCTTCTGAAAGAAATATGCTTGAGGTGCTTGTGGAGAATTATAGTTTCAAGTACATGAAGGGTTGTTAAGCAAAAGGTGATAGCTAACTTTGCTTCATTTAAGGAAAACTAGGGGGAAAAGGCAAGATAAGTAGTTCTGGTCCAAAGTCCTCAAAGAACCTTCACTGTACACATTTCTCATCTAATCTTCACAGTATACATGCAATGAGTTCTGTGAAAATGAAGACAGTCCTTAAATATGAATGGGATTCAAAAAGTTTGTGGGAAATGGAATTTAAAAATAGTCAAATTGTTCCTTAAAATTTTGAAGTCCCGGATGCCCACCTTCCTGATACGATCACTGAAGACAAACATGTGCATAAGCAAAGGTGGTGAAGGAAGCTGATGATGCCCAGCTATCAAAAGATATAGTGTCTGGGGTCTTAAAGGTTTGAAGATAAACAAGCGGCCAACTAGCTCAGAAGCAACAAAGCCCACATGGAAGAAGCGCACCAGCATGCGTGACCACGAGCTGTCGAAGGGATCAGATATCAAGCATCAAAGAACAAGAAATATCATTGTAAAGGTGGGTGAGTGCAGAGTGGAGACTCAAAGCCCATCGGCAGGCAACTGGACACCCCCTTGCTGAAGGGTTGTGGGGAGAAGACAAGCCAATCAAGGTACAGGGCAGCAACGATGAAACATATAACTTTCCTCTATTCCTTAAATGTTTCCTCCCCGCCACTATTATCAGGATCCCAATTCTACCTTACAAATCTGGCTAGACCAGAGGATGTACATTGTACAGATAGCAACTGGAAACACAGGGAATCCAGGACAGATGACTCCTTCAGGACCAGTGGTGAGAGGGGCGAGGCCTGGAGGGTTAAGGGAATGTGGGGTAGAAAGAGGGAACCAATTACAAGAATCTAAGTATTGCCTCCTCCCTGGGGGATGGACAGCAGAGAAGAGGGTGAGGGGAGACGTCAGACAGTGTAACTATGACAAAACTATAATGATTTATGAATTATGAAGGGTTTATGAGGGAGGAGGGAGGGGGAAAATGAGCACCTGATATTAAGGGCTAAAATGGAAGGCAAATGTTTTGAGAATGATGAGGGCAACAAATGTACATTGTGCTAGATACAATGGATGCATGTATGGATTATGATAAGAATTGCATGAGCCCCCAATAAAATAATTTTTAAAAAATTTTTGAGGTCCCTTCATAATTTTCCTAATAGGGCCGAATAATGCTAAAAACCATATTATCTTAATTTCTATCCTTCTGACTTTTATGTCTAAACAGTATTATCTAAATTTAGAAAGTCATGGATTTAATTACAGAAAATATTGAAGTGAACTGGGCTTTACCTTAAACTCATCTGTATCCCTTGAAATTAAGCCTGGCACTCCCCAGTGTGAGAAGCAGCAGATGACTGCAATGCCAAGGCTATAGAGCTCGAAGGGTGGGGGGTAGAGGGGGGTCATTGGACTTTGGTTTATATCTCTTGCCTTGAGGATGCCCAGTGAATGGTGGCCAGGACTACTATAAACTTAATATTGGGGTTTTTTTTGGGGGGGGGGGTTTAAACTTAATATTGTAATATACTCTTTGCTTTATTATGACATGTATTAATCTGGTACATGGGGTCTGCCCCTGTCAATGACTATTAATGAAACTTTTGCTCTATCACTAACCCTTATTGTTAGTGTAACTAGCATCCAGTCATGTAAGAGTTTAATCTGTATAAGACAATAATTCATGTATTGTTGTTCATAGTTGGCCTGTACTTTTATAATGTCCTTTTCTGATCTGTGTTTTAAATTCTATACCATTGAATAAATTAATGACACTATCAATAGAATTACCTCATGCTCCAGGAAGATGATTGATAATGTTCTCTAACAAAATGACAATGATGTCTAAGGTGAACCAGAGACACATATAAACTATAGACATGTTGAATGTATTTGGGGCTCAAACTTAATTCTAGGCCCAATTTAAGAACAAATAGTCTTTTGACATGACCCTGCTTGATGCTCGCCCTTATAACAAGATCCCTGAACATATGGGTGGTATTGAAAAGTGGCTATGTTAGGCAGGGTTCTCTAGAGAAACAAAACCAGGACACTTATGGATATATATGGAGAGGTTTATACAGTGATAAGGAATATAACAACTTATTAGTCCACAGAGAAGTACAGAGGGCTCAGTTCAACTTACTTTCGTGGAACAGTTAATATACTGAAAATCCTTCAACTCACAGGGGGCTTTGGTCCAAGGTCAAGGAAACAGACACTAGAGTCTTCCCTCAGGCAAAACAAGCAGAGTCT